TAGCATTCTTGGAAAAGCAGTTCCACTTGGGCTTTTCAACTGTATCAAATTTGAATCTAAAAGTCCCCATGGAGTGCAGGCAATCCGTGACAGAGTTGGAAGGAAACAATTACTGCTTGATGGTCACTTCCATTTTGTATATACCCTTGGTTTGTGTAGGCCATATTCCAACTGGCTTTTAGTAATAGAAATTTAGTACATAATGTATCAGATACAATTCAGGTTCTAATATAGTCCGTTAATTTACCTGAAATTGGATTTTTAAAAAGTAATAAAAAGTTAAATGTACTTCCCTTGGATGCTTTATTTCTTTCCGTTTTGAAACAGGTAAACCAATCATAAGGGATAACCCATTATCATTGGCATGCATATGAAGAGATTATGAAAATCTCTCCACATTTAAATAAAGCACAGGTCTGCAAATTTTTTCTGTAAAGGGCGAGATAGTAAATATTTTAGACTTTAAGGGCCATATAGTCTCTTGTCAAAACTACTGTTACAGCAGAAAAGCAGCCATAGTAAACAGTACATAAACTAAAAATGAGCAAGCCTGTGTTCCAGTATGACTTCACCAAAATGTCCAGTAGGCCATAGTTTTGCTAACCCCTGAAATGAAGGATTTAAAATTTAAGGTTTGATTTTTCCCTAAAATTTGTATTTTGAAAAAAAATTTTAATGTATAGAAAAGTTGAGAGAATGGTACAATGGATAAGATTTTTTTTTGAAAATGATTTTTCTCTTATTACTATTCTTTTGACTTTTTTTGTATAACAACCTGACTCCTACACTCAAACCCCACCATTCCCTATGCTTATCATTCTGTGATAATTGATAATTGAAATGATTGATAATGCATTGCATTTGTCTAGTACTTACTACTTTTTAAAAGCAGTTTTACATATGTTCCTTTACAACCCTCTGGTGAGACTGGTAGAGTGGATAGCCACATTTTATAGATAAGAAACTAGGGCAGCTGAAGGAGCTCTTAATTTTAGCCCAGAAGTAATCAAGATTAGGGCCCTGTTGTCTTGATTGCTGGGGATGTCACCTTTCCAGCATGGGGTGCAATATGTAGAAGTCACATTGAAAATTAGTGTTCTATATAAATGGAAGGGATTATTTTTATTGTGCTACATTGAAATCAGTGGTTAATTACTCCACATCTGTTTGTACTTTTGTTTTTCATCGTCATTTATAACTACTTTTTACAAGTTCTTACCAACCTCCTTGGTTCTTTTCTACTCCTAGTTTTATTAGCTGCTTCAGTCAGCACTTAAACTTGGCAATTCCTGTTAGCCAAATAATTTTAAATTGGTACAAATTTGCGTTACTACTGATCTCTTTAATGAACATTGTTTTGTCTAGTTGGAAAACCAAGAGTAGAAGGGAGTCTGTTATGCAGCCAACTTCTTGATTTCAAAGTGCAAACTTTTACGAAACAATGTACAATATTGAAAAGGGGAAATAAACCTACATTGGGAGATGTGGAATCATTGTTAATGTAGTCTACAAATGTATTTAAAATTATTTGATTATTTAAAATGATTTTCATTTTCAAAGGTTGCATGCTTACAGTGACAGGAGTTTCACGTGAAAATAAAAAGGGGGTGGAGATGGTTGTATCGAGAAGCTAATTTAAGTCATTTTAGCTGGCCAATATTACCGTTACTCAGAGGGTAGGGAACCTGCAGCCTGAAGGCCACGTGTGGCCATCTAGGTCCTTAAGTGCAGCCTTTTGACTGAATCCAAATTTTACAGAACAAATCCTTTCATTAAAAGGGGTGCAGCAGAGAAAGATGAAGCTTTTCTTGCCTCCTTTGGTGCTTAAAAAAGAACAATCTTGAGATCAGAAGGTCGCAGGTTCCCCACCCCTGCCCGGGACAGAGTCGGTCAGAGAGGTCTGCTGCAGTTACAGGACAGTAGGGTAGGACAGACCTGAATAGGTAAGTGTCATAGATATGGTAGCGGGTGTAATAGATGCTGGCATGAGGATGCAGGGTGTGTGGTTATCAAGGTGTCCCAGGCAGAGACATGGAGGTGTGAAGCACCCTGTTAGGATGACTGCAAGGTATTTAATGCAACAGGAATGTCATGTGGGAGGTGGCAAGAGCCCAGGCTGGAAAGGTCAAAGGAAGGCGTGATGGTGGATGGAGGGCCTGGTATGCCACCCTGAGGAACTTGGTTAAAGGTTTTGGAGAGCCAAGAAGGGTTTTAATCAGCTGCTGAAAGTTGCAACAATATTAAATATTTTTAATTACCTTCGCCAAAGAACTCAGAGTACCTTTCAGTGGTCAGCACTGTAAAAGGAATGAGCTAGCAAATGATTGTGCCCATTTTATTCTATAGGCTGTGCTGCTTGCACTGGAGATTATGATGATGGCCAGTGGCCAGGAAAGGCAAGGTGAAGAGCAAGTGGCCTAGGCAGAGTAGTTAGGAGGATAGGTAGTAGTTAAGGCAGACTTGAAGAGGTCTGAGAGTGGCTGCGAGAGAACCCAGTTACCCTGGGCCCAGGTGTATAGGTGGAATGAGTTGGGCGGGGGAAAGACATCTAAGAGAGGAGAAACGCTTGTGTGCACTTACAGGTGTCCACCACAGGATCCAGAGAGATGGGGGAGGAAACCCACAAATAATTATGAATGTAATGATGGAACTAACTTGAGCAGTTTTAGGTCATAAAGCCTTTTCTAAACTTACCTCCAGTTTTTTCATGGGATTTGAATTAAAAATATATTTTAAAAGTTATCTGAACCTAGATTAGAGTTTAACTGTAGAAGTGGTGAGTGAAATCAGGAGCTATAGTAACTGATGAGTGAAAAAGTACTAACCATCCCTTTTCTGTCATTCCTTTCTAACCTTTCTATTATGATCCAGATATTTTGTTGCTGTTTGTTGGTTGATAATCTGTGTACCATCTAAACTGGACTTCTGACTTAAAACTGTGCAGCTTGCTAACCCAGCAGCGCCACTGTGTTCAAAATGCTTGGACAAAGGGTGTTGGGAGAAGACCTGGCAGCTACTCACCAGGTGGGGCTTGGAGGCAATGAAAGCTCACGACCGCAGTGCTTGCACAAGAGGTGGCCTCTAATGTCTGTTTTCCAGAGAAATTCACTGCTAATGAGGAAGCCAGTTGTCTGTTTGTCTAATGCCATCTGGAGACCTGGAAGTGTCACAGAAGTTTGTTAGGCCTTTTAGATGTTGACTTGTCTACTGACAGGTGGTGACCTTCACTGGGGTGAATGTAGAGGACTATGGCGTTGGGTTTGACTCCTTCCAGCATTCAGGCAGAAATGCTGTTTGACCCCCTCCCACACCTATTGCCTATTTAGTGGCCACTTGGCCTTCCCTGCCATTTGGTGGCATTCATTCCCCCAAATTCCTTCCTCCTGCCTGACAGTTTCTAACCAGATCTTGCCCAATCTGGCTCTATCCTGTATGTGCCCATTTGATGAAAACTCAGCATGAAGCAGGGTCAACTCTGTATTTCTTTCTAAGAGTCAGAACAAAATACCAAGTAGCACCCTTCCGGTGGTTAAGGAGAAGGGTGCCTTTGGCTCAGTGGTTTGAAGGACTTGTTACCCTACTTGTTATCTTTGTTACTAGATGAGAAGACAGAGGACCTATTTTGAGAGTCCATTGTAAAGCCCAGCTCTGGGCTCCCTGTTGACTATTTTGTCATTAATGTATGTGAAACCATATGCATATCCCAAAGGGAAGTTCAGTCCATGTTTCTGCTTGCAGTTTAAATGTAAAAAGATTGTACATACACATTTGTTTATTATACTTCTTGATTTGGGCAATTTTGCTTGCATAAAAAGATCTTTGAAAAGCTTTGTGGTAATACTTTTTATGTCTCTAAATCAAAATGGCTCAGTTCTGACAATTTTACATTTAATGTACAATATAGAAGTGGGTTTCAAATAGCTCTTGATTGTTCTCTTAAATTATTTGGGCATATGTTTTTAACTGGCAAGAAATAACCAGACTTCAGAAATTGGTCATTTTTATTCCATCAAGTTAATGGTGAGTGGCTTATTTAATAAAAACATGTCTGTAATTTAACACATACAGCACGTACAGCTTGTTCATTTGTCAGTCTTTTTGCCTGTATGAAGCATCTTAGACTGTTTTACTAAAGGATAGGGTCACCTAGAGGGGAACTGTGTCATTTTAAATTTTTCTTCCGTACGTATTGCCAGCCACTGCGTTAGGTTGGGTGGGTGCCGCAGCAAGCGCCCTGCATGGCTGGACGAGGAGATGTGAGAGAGCTGAGAGAACCGTAGTCCTGGATTTTTTTCTGCGCTGAAAGGGACCTGATTCGATTCACTTCATCCCCGCAGAGAAGCGCCTGTCCGAAAGCACACGAGTTGGCAGCGACGCCGACCGCTCACATAGGGCTTCTGGTCCTGCGCTGCCAGCTCTAGCCACTGCCGCCTGCCTTCGTACACGTGGGCATCGCAGTTGCGAAGTGAGTTATGAAAATAAAACAGGCGGGAAGCCCAGCCTCGATCTTCGGGAGCAGCGTTCTCGGAGTCGGAGGCCGAGGTGGCGCCCGGAGCAGGGGTCTCCGCTGGGTGGGCGCGCCGCTGGCCGGCCCCCGCTTCAGCACCGGCACCTCGCTCCCCTTCCTCCGAACTTGCGGAGGTGCCGGGAAGGGGCGGGGCCTCGCCTCGGGCCCCCGAGTGATTGGCTGCCCAGGGCCCTCGGCGAGGGCTGTTTGGTCCAGCCCCTGTGGAGAGGGGCGGAGCGGCCACGGCTCCAACCACCGCCGCCACCGCCACAGTCGCAGCCGCCGCAGCCCCGGCCGCCGGGCAAGTAGCTCCGAGCGGCCGCTTCCCGGTTGCCTCGACGCGGACAGGGGGCGCCGCGCTCCGCTCGCTCCGCGCCGGAGCCATGCCTGGCAGCCGCGCGTAACCGCCGAGCCCGGCCGCCACCGACACGACCCGGTGCACCGTCCCTCGCCCGAGCCGAGCTTTCGTGCACGCAACTCCCTCTGCCCCGGCCAGCCCCGCGGCACCATGCCCCGGGAAGCTGCACTCGGGGCCCTGGTGTCGCTGCTGCTGCTGCTGCTGCTGCCGCTGCCCCGCGGCGCCGGGGGGCTCGGGGAGCGCCCGGACGCCGCCTGGGACTACTCGGCGTTGGAAGGCGAAGAAGGCGCGGAGCAGCAGCTGGAGCATTACCACGACCCGTGCAAAGCCGGTAGGTGCCGCCGCCGCCAGGGGAGTCTCGCAGAAGTTTGCCTTTGAAATGCAAATAAAGTGGTGGGCTGTCTGCGGGGCGGGTCTCTCTCCCCTCCCCTGAGATGCCCCGGCTCCCCGGAAAGACAATGCCCGGAGGAACTGCTTAAATTCCACTCCGAGGCTGGGACGTCCTGGCCCAGGCTTGCGCCGCGCCTCAGTGGCGGCCACGGCAGCGTTCCCGAAGGGGATCGGGGCGGGTGCCAGAGGCCGAGAGGGTGCTCCGGCCCGGGGCGGGCGCCAGGGCCGCCTGACAGCCGGGCGGGCAGCACAGGCCGCCGCCGCCGCTCTGGGCTGGAGCGGAGGAGCCGGGCTGGGCGCGGCGCTCCCACGCTCAGAGGGAGTTGCTGGCTCCGATTTCACGCATTTGTAAGTTTCGCGCAAAGTTTCCCAAGGTCTTGTGGTGACTTTTGGGAAGAGATTTTAAGAAGAAAGCTTCTCAGCAGGCAAAAGGAAGGGGTCGCCGAGGGAGAATGTGCAAGACTCGAATCGCGGCAAACTTCCCTGTAGTCTCCTCAGCATCGTCCCGGCCCGGGTCGCCGGGCGGGCGGAGATGGAAGCCGGCAGGTGCTCTAATCCCTCCAGGAAGCTGCGCCCCGGGACGCGCGGGCCTTTCGGGTGCAGTCGCTGCCCCAGCGCTGCAGCTCCCGCTTACCCCGAGCCACCAACCGGCTCGTGGGTCTCCAGGGGAGCGGCTTCCGAGCTGGAATCGTTGAGGCGTTAGCCTCAAAGGGGCCCAAACGCGTGTCCCAGACAGCCGATGGCTCTAGGGCAGTCCCCAGCCGGGACAGAAGGATGATGGGCTCAGAGGCCCGCACAGCCGCTCCTGGCCGGTGGCCAGAGGCCCGCAGGTAGTGGTGTTTATCTCTGGCATTGTCCAGCCCGTTTCTCTTGGCTGCTGGCAGAGATGAGCGGAAAAAGCGAAGAGCTTGGCCTCCACCCTCAGAGGGGCAGGGTGCTCCTTCCAGGTGCTGTGGCCGGCCAGGTCTGTGAGTGCTGTGGGCCCGTGGCCCCATGCCTTCACTCGCCAGAGACCTCTGTCAGCTTTGGTTTCCTTGTCTCTAAACTGGGGACAGTAATTACAAGAGGACTCAGAAGATTTATAGAAAAATTCTCTGCAGATGGTATAATTATGGCATCGTAGTTGTTTTTACGGTTATTGTTACTGCAGTGGCTCTTGTCTAGGCTGGGGGTTGGGAGGGTCACAGCTAGGTGAAGTCTGGGGAAGACGGAGTTACTAGGAGGCTGGAGGACCGAGGGAGTTTGTGAGATGAGAATCTTGTGAAGGTTCAAGATCAAACCAGGCTTGAGGGGCCTGGTCTAACCATAGGGAAGATTCCTGCAGAATATCCACCTATAGCTGTACCTTGGGGGCCTCTGAGTTAGGAAGGTGGGCAGATGAGTTGGTTCCTGGGTCATTTGAGAGAACATCAGCAGGTACATGCCTGACTGAGATACCCCAGTTCCTCACAGGGCCGAACTCATGGCTAGGGAGGAAGATCTCCAGAGCATGGTGGGAATGGTGGCCTGGCCTGGCCCTAAAAGAGGGCCGTTGACACTGGGACCATGGGTGGGGGCTAAAGAAGGCAGTGGCTTGACCACCACCTGCACCTGGCAGATCCTGGGCTCTGCTGGGTGTGAGCTAGGGCCTCTGGGAGGCAGTGTGGACAGCTGGGCCTGGAGTAGAGAAGCATTCAGTTGGCTCAGGAATGTGTTGAGCACCTCTGGTATGTTGGGTGCTGGTCTGGGAGCTGCAAATCCAGAGGTGATAGAGACATAAGTCTTCTGTGAGAGCTTCCCAGCTCCTAGTCCCAGCCTTGCGGGATAACCCTGAGGCAGGTTGCCTGTTGGGGCCACATTTTCTTCAGTGCTTTTGGAGAGAAGACAAGCAGGGGCATGCATGGTCTGTGATGATTCACATCCAAGATGGAATGGGCAGCGGGGCTGGAAGGTAGAGGATCTTGGGAGTATGGTTTCAGCCGACTGTGTGCATCCTCGTCCGGGACCATCCTTGAATCCTGCCAACCCTTTGGCCTCTCCCTGGGCTATGCTGATGCTAAGCCTGGCCAGAAGAGGGCGATGGCAAGGAAGACAGGAGGGGCGGGGAAAGGTAGTATCTCCCTTTGCCCATCCTCCTGGAAATTCCCTAGGGAACAGCTCTCTGGAGCACCAACAAGCAGTTCACCAGTGCAATGAAGTCTCAATGCAAGAACTTGTCTCTTGGCTGGCGGCAAACTGCACTTCTTGGTCGCATATTTAGTGCAAACATTTAGGGGCAGCTTCTCATCCTTTCCCAGTCAAATCCTAACTCCCTGGCTCCTCCTGCCAGACGCTCTCCTCAAGGAACCACCTTAGGGCTTCAAATATATTAATAAAACACCTCCCACCTCTCCCTTCTCCATTTGAGTCTGCATTCTGCTGCGGATCCAGAACGCAGAGGGGAGAGTCTCGGATCTATTCCTGGCCCTGTGGCTGTGTTACCTTGGACAAGTCCCATCCTCTCTGGGCCTCAGTTCTTACCTGTAGAATGAAAATGTTGGACTTGTTAGGATTGCAAACTGACAGGTCCAGGGAGCTCATTCTCTTGGCCCACATCAACCTTCTTGCCCTGGACCTACTTCGTACCTTGCAGGCATTTGAGTTTGAGCCCCAGGCTCCTTCCTGTTCAGTGTGTATGGCTCTATGAGCTTTGCATCTAGCCCAGCCTCTTAGAAACTGAGCAAACTGGTAATTATAGGCCATTTATAATTTTATTGTTTTATCTCTTTTGCAATTTGTATGCCATTTTTACCATTTTACCATTTATTCTGCCATCTACAAGCTATGTGACCTTGGGCAAGTCACTTGATTTCTCTGGGTCTTAGTTTCCTCATTTGTAAACGAGGATGATTCCTGATAAATTGCTTAGAACAGGGCCTAACATATAGGTAGGTACTTTATAAACAGATTTTCTAGAAACTTAGTGAAAGAACATCTTTATGCTGACCTTTGAAGCAGGCTTTAAGCTGTGAAATTTAAATTTACTAATAGACAATCTATTTGATACTATGAAATGGGATGATTTTTAAATCAGATGATTATGGAGTGGGAGTGAGTCTGTGAAGACCCCCTGGCCTGGGGCTGGTGAGGGGCATGGGGCTTCTGGGGCGTGTTTTCTGTCTGGTCCTCCACAGCTCTGCCACTTTGTTTCTCTTCTGATACTGTCAGTGCAGCCACCAGTTCAACTGACAGTCAGTCACAAGGCACCCTCCCAACCACCATGCCTCTGAGAACAAAGCTGGAGAGGATGCTCCTGTCCTCCCGCCTGTCCTCACCCACAATTCCTTAGCAGGCTCCAGGCCAGGAGGCCCAGGTCCTTATCCTGCCTCTTACTCTGTGTAGCCTTGAGCAAATCATTTTACCTTTCCATACCTCAGTCTTCTCATCAGCAAAATGGGGGTGGGAGCAAAAACGCTTGCCGTGTGGGGCGGACAAGAGGCCAGTTTGAATTGGATTCCTTTGAAAGAAGAGCCTGAGACAAGGACTTGTGTGTGGGTTGTTTGCAAGCTGATCCCAGGAAGCAAGAAGAGTCAGGGAAGGAGGAAAACCAGCGAAGGGAGTGGGAGCAAGGTTGCTGCTTTAGGCAACGGGCTTCCGAGGAGCTTACAGGATGCCTCCCAGAACAATCTGCCCACAGAGTAGGAGACTGCGGCATCTACCCAAAGGCTGCCATCCTTTGTGGCTTGCTCCCTGCTCCAGTTTCTATTCCTAGGTAAGAGACCACCCCAAACTCAGTGGGGTAGAACAACCTCATTTTACTGTGTTCATGATTCTGTGGACTAGGAATTTGGAAAGGACGCAGCAGGGATGGCTTGTCTCTGTTCTGCGTTGTCTGAGCCTCAGTTAGGAACACCTGGAGGCTGGAATGACGACACCGGGGCACTGAAACTATCTGGAGGCTCATTCACCCAAGTGTCTGGCAGTTGAGGCTGGCTATTGCCTGGGACCTCAGTTGGACTGTTGGCCAGAACACCAACACGTGGGTGTTTCCATGTGGTCTCTCCAGGTGGGCTAGTTAGGCTTCCTCACAGCATGGCAGCAGGAATCTCAGCGTAAGCGTCTCAAGAGAACCAGATGGAAGCTGCATTGCCCTTGATGGCCTTCCCTCAGAGTTGCTTCCACCATGGTCACAAGCCCTCCCAGATTCAAGGGGAGGGAACATAGACCCACCTGTCCAGTGAGTGGAATGTCAAAGTCACATTGTTAAAAGGGCACGTGGTCTGAGAGAGACTGTTGCAGCCAGTTTTTTGAAATGTGACCTGCCACACTCCCCAACCCATTAACTTCCCTGAACATCCAGGCGTAATGAGCTCTACAGATTCAGAAAAATTCTCAAGTAGAAAAGTGGAGTGATATGCAACAGAGACAGGGACCTGCCCAAAGTCGAGCTGAGAGTATGTGACTCAGGTCACCAAAATTGTCTACGTGGGGCTCGAATGATATGACAGTGCTGCATGGCCTTTGGGGTTTATTAACTCCAAAGGAACCGGCTGATAGCCAGCTTTGCTTTTCAGCTGATGGCTTGGTAAATGCCAGGGCCTTCTCCATGGCCGCGGGTCCCGTGTTAGGATAGAATAAATATGGCTGGTGGTCCCTGAGGCTTATGGCTCGGAGACAGCGGAGAGGGCAATCCCCACACCGCTTCCAGACCTTACTTCTGCCTGGAACACGGTGCTGCACTTCACCATGCCATTCTCTCTGAGACATCTTACCAATCAGGTTTTATTTGGGGATCTCCCAGAGCTCTCTCTGGCAGCTCTTGCCAGCAGCCCTCATGTTATTGTCAGCCTGGACACTGAGGCAGCCCCAGCCCAGGGTGCTGCGGACCTCCCGACAGTGCCCAGAGTGGAGCTGGGGAGCTCGGGGGGTCCTGGGCAGTGCTCCTCTGGAGTTTGCACCCTCCATGGCAGGGGCAGGTGTCCT